TGGCTTTCCCTGGGGGGGCCCTCTCCCCCCCCCCCCCGGAGATATAGCTGAAAGAAACCCTGTTCCCATTGAGTAGCCTTGTGCTGCTCTATCGTAAAAATGGGCATAGTACCGGTATCTGATTTATCATTTTCATCTTGCAGAACTGGTATGCAAGACCAATCAACATCATCCTCATCTAACCGTTCAGCACTTAAAATAGAAGTATTTTCAGTGTGAGTAATAGTTGCCATACGCTCTCTCTGTCTCCTGGCAGCTACTCGCATCCTTTCTTGTTAAAGAACAGGTAGTAATTTCTTATTCTCAAGAGTGAATTGTCGGTGCTGTTGATTATACTTTTTCTATATATGACTTGGGGTAAAAGTGCAGTTCAGGTGCGTATATTATTTCTGTTTGAATCTCTTATTTTCCCTTGTAAACTTATGTTAATTCTTTATAAAAATTATTTTAAAAGTTATATACCATCTTTTTATTGGAATACAACAACAATTTAACAAATTTTACGAGATAAAAAAAGTACATTTTTATGAATCTTTCGTGTTTTACGGAGCCATTGTGGTAAATCAAGGATAACTCTTCTGTCTTTAAAGATACTTTATAAAAGTTGCCCAATTGGATGAATCTTGTTAAAATAAATGATGTAGGCCCTATTTATTTTATAACTTTACTATCAACTATAACCGGAGTTGTCTGGGGCTGCATTCAGAAAAAAACTATCTGCTACGTCCTTTTAGTTCACATTGTTATTAAAGGAAATGTCAACAACAAAACTATAGTAAAAATAATAACAATTAATTTGTCTCCTATTAAAAACAAGTAAAATAACTTATGTAAACCTTTCGTTTTTCCCGTTTTCCGATGGCACCCGGAAGGATCATGATGGGATCCCGAACCCGATGTGATTCCGATAGAATCCTGGTCATGGGGTGGGATCCCGATCCCGGTAAGATACCGATCCCTGTGAGATCCGTTTCCGGTGTTATCCCAAACTAAAGGAGATCCCAATCCGGTGGGAAACCGTTTCGGTGAGATTCCGATCCCGATAGGATTTTGATCCTAGTGAGATCCTGATCCCGGTGGGATCCCGATCCAGTGGGTTACCGATCCTGGCGGGATACCGGTTACGGTGAGCTCCCGTTTCGGGTGATATGCAGATCCCGGTTATTATGGGGAGCTCACATACTTGACATACGAACCCAGCTTACAAGCCACATTGCAATTGTTACGAGCGCCTTAGGAAAAAATCCAGTTGTATTAATGTTATTTGTTGCCCCACAAGGTGCGCGTATAAACCAAATGCTGCACCATTTAAAATGCCTGTTGCATCAACAATTTTAGCTATTGTCTCTTGGTCGTCCTGCAATTTTAAACAAAATGATCCTACAACCAGCAACACCGCAAAGCCAAAACGAGTCCGTCTTATAATATAAAAAAAATAATCACTAGCCCTCACTATACTCAGCGCAAATCAGTCACCAGTAATAAGCGCATTTGCATAAGAAAAAAGAGGAGGGGTGCTCAAATTAGAGCTGACCAATCACGGACAGCGTATTAGCAGCCTTCAGGGTGATCAGCTTCACACCAGGTCCAGGACAATGATGACGTGTGTGTCCACTGCCTTAGTCAGTGATCCACTTCTAATCTCCCCCCCCCCAACCCGACTTCAAAGGACAACCCCTATATTCCGAGCTCTCTGAGAGGGGAAAAAAAAGAAAGTTGGGGGGGGGGGCGCTTGTGCGTAGTGAAGAATCTAGTATTTCATTCTTTTTTGTGAACATGCTTAGTTTGAAAATTTCGTTTAGCATACTAACCTATAGGTGGCTAAAAATCTGGCATAGCGTAAAAAGAAAAATACAAACAAATGGGGCTGTGTCACTTTGGTTGGGGGATGTTTAAAGACTATTAATAAAGTAAAATAAAAAGAAAAGATGCAATTTATAATTCAGAATTAGTTAACATAACTGCCTGTATTAAATTATTAAAGAATACACATAAGTTTACATGATAAAAAAAAATTAAAATACGAAATGCGCTAAGAAATAATATACGCACCTGAACTGCACTTTTATCGTATTTCTACTCTAATAATATCATTTACCTTGACTGCGCATGACACTTGAACCCTGTCCTCGTTCTCAAACAGAATCTACAGGTGAAGAGAGGTCAACTTTT